TTTTCCTAGCATTGTTGGTCGACCACGTCACACTGGTGTCATGGTTGGGATGGGTCAGAAGGATGCCTATGTAGGAGATGAGGCACAATCTAAAAGAGGTATCCTTTGAAATATCCCATCGAGCATGGTATTGTCAGCAACTGGGATGATATGGAAAAGATATGGCATCATACATTCTACAATGAGCTTCGTGTTGCGCCAGAGGAGCACCCTGTTCTTCTCACTGAGGCACCTCTGAACCCTAAGGCCAACAGAGAAAAGATGACCCAGATCATGTTTGAGACCTTCAATGTACCTGCCATGTACGTTGCCATCCAGGCCGTTCTCTCTCTGTATGCCAGTGGCCGTACAACAGGTTCATTAAATCCCTCTAAATGTTTCATAGTTCTATTGATTGTTTTGAATCAATCCACCACTGAATAGTGAATTATCTACCTATTGGAACAGGTATTGTGCTGGATTCCGGTGATGGTGTCTCTCACACCGTGCCAATTTATGAAGGATATGCCCTTCCACATGCCATTCTCCGTCTAGATCTTGCTGGCCGTGATCTTACCGATGCTTTGATGAAGATTCTTACTGAGAGAGGTTACATGTTCACCACCACTGCTGAACGGGAAATTGTCCGTGATGTGAAAGAGAAGCTTGCATATGTTGCTCTGGACTACGAGCAGGAACTGGAGACTGCCAAAAGCAGCTCTTCTGTTGAGAAGAACTACGAATTACCTGATGGACAAGTCATTACTATTGGCGCTGAGAGATTCCGTTGTCCCGAGGTCCTGTTCCAACCATCTCTCATTGGAATGGAAGCAGCCGGGATCCATGAAACTACATACAACTCTATCATGAAATGTGACGTGGATATCAGGAAGGATCTCTATGGCAACATTGTTCTCAGTGGTGGTTCAACTATGTTCCCTGGCATTGCGGACCGTATGAGCAAGGAGATCACCACCCTTGCTCCAAGCAGCGTGAAGATCAAGGTTGTTGCACCACCAGAGAGAAAGTACAGTGTCTGGATTGGAGGATCTATCTTGGCATCACTCAGCACCTTTCAGCAGGTCAAATATAATTTAGCAAATAAATGGCTTCTATTTTTCTTTCCGTTTACTTTGGTTGCCCGAGACTGACATATCTTGCTTTACCCGTTGCATCAGATGTGGATTTCCAAGGGCGAGTACGATGAATCTGGTCCATCCATTGTCCACAGGAAGTGTTTCTGAAAGGCTTTGTAAGTGCTTTCAAGGTCAGTTACATTTTCAATTTAGTTGGCTTTTTCGTGTCCTGTGCCAAGTGAATTCAAGTCTGGTTCATGTGGGGAAGCATTGAAAGCGGAGATATTTTGAGGGTGTTCTCTGCTATTAATGTATTATATAAGCCTTCCATCTGGTTCGACTTGTGATGTCCGTCGGTGTCACAACTATTCGAGATGGCAGGCCTTAAAGATATCTTGGAGGGAAGACAATTGCTTCTCTAGTCCTTCCTTTCCATGCATCCTTCAAACATGTTGCTTAATAGGGTGATTGTGATGCTCCTGAGAACATTAAATGTTAATAGCTGTTGTAAGATTTGAATTAGTGTGGGTTTGTGGTCATAAAGTTTTGATGGGAATTATATTTTATACCTTCTTTTGAAATCTTATGGTGCACGCATTTTATCTGAATTCGTCTGCTGTAAATGTGTGGTTGCCACAAAATGGCGAAGGTGTCATTGTTATGGGAAACCAAACCATTAGAAGTATGTCTTCTCTTAGTGTTTAAAACATTATGGCCAAATGTAATAATTTTAATTCAAGTCATCAAACCACCAAGTGTGTTCTGCTTTGGTCAACAAACCAAAAATCTTGTAAATTTAGTCACTAATGACACATTTTAGTTCCCGGTCGTTGAGCTGGTAACAAAATTTATTTTTAATTTATATAATTCTGTATTTAATCCTCAACACTTATTGATATTAATTTTAAATTATTCAACAAATTTAGTCCTCCCATTTATAAATTTTACAATTTGATCTTCACATTTATTCATTTAATCTTCAATACTTGTAAAATCTATCAATTTTGTTTCTATTCTAAATAATTCAACAAATTTAGTTTTTATATTTACACATTTTACCAATTTGACCTTGTTTTAAAATAATTCAATCTTGACATTAGCAAATTTTATCTTAATTCTGAATAATCCAACAAATCTAATCACATATTTATAAAATTCTATTATGCAATCATGCTTCAATCTCTATAAATTTTATCAATTTGATCCCAATTCTAAATAACTCAGAAAATTATTGCAAAGGAAACACATGCGATGACCTAAATTTTACTGTTAATTTTTATCTGTTTTATGTAAATTTAGTTTTAATGTACTTGATACCCATCAAAATAACTAGATAAAGTATAATAAACAACCGAAGCAGTTTCAGCTATAGTTTATGAAAAAAATTTAAAATTTCATGTAAGAAATTCTTAAAGGAGAGAAGAAAATCAGTCTTAAACTAATATATATATAAAATTTAGGGTAAACTACACTAGGTACCATTGAACTTTAGGCGTTGCATTCGTTTATACTATTGAACTTTCAATTTACTAATTACAGCACTGAACTTTGATTTTTTGTTTCAATTACACCATTGGGCCGTTAACTTGTTAATAGTTGGATCAAAACGACATTGTTTTGGTGAAGTGTAAAAATTCGACAATCTTCAGATCATCGTGCAGTTAATGATTTAACGGTTCAATGGTATAATTGAAATGAAAATCAAAGTTCAGTGCTATATTTGGTAAAATTGAAAGTTCAGTTATATAAATGATACAATACCTAAAGTTCGATGGTATTTGATGCAATTTACTCAAAAAATTATGATAAGTTTACAATAAATTCGAGCATAACATAAAACTATTTCAAAGAAGAAAAAGAATTACAGTGCATAAATTAAGTTATAAAACACATATTTAAAATACTTATAACCTCTTATAAGTAAATAACACTTCATTGCTCTCTTATAACCTCCTCTTAATATGAAACAATCGTATATTTAATCCATATGTTACTTCAGTTATACTTAACATAGAAAGTTAATTCACAATGTTACATCTTATATCGATATTGTCCTAGTGCTTGAAAAGTTCATTCACTATTAATCTCATTCTAAATTGGTCCATAAACTTTTAGATCTTCCAATCTCATCCTCAAATTCATCCAAACATGTAATCCGTTTCAACCATAGTTTAACCTAAATTGAAATATTCAAAAAGTTTAGGGACAAATTTAGAATGAAGATCGCGGTTTGGAAATGAAAAATGAAATGTTCAAAAGTTTGAGGACTAATTTAGAACGACAATCGTAGTTTAAGGATGAGATTGAAATGTTTAAAAGTTTAGGGATTAATTTGAAATGAGGGTCATAAATTAGAGACGTAAGATGAAATTAACTCTAAAAAATATTGATATAAATTATTTTTAAAGTGTTGGAATAAATCATATTTTGAGCCTTCAAATCGTGTCCCATTGTAATTGCAATTACTAGCACGAAATCTGAGCGAAATGTAATTAATTAGAGTTAGAGGGTTGATCTAAGGTAAGGTTTATCTGTCCCTCCAGCTGTGAACCCATAATGTGTTGCATTACTTGTATTTTACTACAAACTTGGTTTAATTACTAATTAAAACAGATGAGGTGGCTTAATTAAAACCTACATCTTTTGATGAAGTTTTATGGTATAATAAAAAATGGGGTAAAATACACAAAAGGTCCCCGAGTATAGAATAATACTTCATTGAATCCCTTAACTATTAAATATTACAAAATAGTCCCTCCGGCACAAGGAGTTTCTCTATTGAGTCCCTAACTATTAAAAGTTACAAAATAGCCATTTGATTATTCATTATAGTCCAAACTCATCATTTTTCCTGAGCTGTACGTTAACTTACTGACTGAGATATGATAAAATTTGATCACATACTCTCAAATGACTATCGTATCTCAGTCAACATATTAACGTTCAACTCAGACGACTGATAATCTTTTTAACGGAAAAGGACGAGTTTGGAACATAATGAATAATCGAGTGACCATTTTATAACTTTTAATAGTCAAGAGACTCAATAAAATAATATGCTATCAAGAAAAATAAAGCATTGTTTAACATGATCTTCATTATTAACCCAATATAAAACAAAATCGGTAGAAATAAGTTGGAAGTGTAGATATTTTAATCGCGTGGGTCGCCATCAAATCGGTCCCATGCAAATGCGTTGGTTAGTTTAAGACCACATTTATAAATTTTTAACCATGCTTTACAACTTAGACTTTGCATTATAAAATTAATGTGAAAACATCTCCATATACCAAACGATTTCGTGAACCAATTCTACACTTCATCCATAAAATTATTATTTTAATAATTTAGGTTATTAAGAGTAATAATATTTATTCAGAATATTTTTATTAATAAACAACAAAATTACACTTACTCATTTGTTTGAACTCATAACTTCTACGGAAAATGACATTCTCTTTTATCGTTGAGATCACTTAGTATAGAGTGTTTATAAGATAATATCAGGTTAAAATATTTTTAATTATTGATAACTGTCACACACTCACATACACGACTGCTGAAACTTAAAACCATGTAAAAATAACATTTCTTTTAAATAAAAAATTACCTTTAAATATTTAAATCTTCAACCTAATGCAAAATTTCAATTTTACAAATGGCTTGCCAAGAGTCAAGTATCTTTTCGTGCTCAAAGAACACTTATGTTTACCAAAAATTTCAAAATCATTTGAATCCAACCATTCAAAAGTCAAAGACAAGGTGGTAGATAAAATTAAATTGACAAATGACAATGTTAAGATATATATGAAATATATTTAAAATACAATAAAAAATATAAATATTTTAAGAATACATAAAGATATTATTAAATTCAAAATTTATAAATTATTGCCATTTTAACATAATTATAAACAATATGAACAATGTGAATGAAAAATATCAGCTTGGTTTCAGCCCCACACACAACTCTCCATCTTATCTTTATCTTTTAAAAGAAACCCTAATTCACCTCTACCCTTCTTACCTACTTGACCCCAAAAAATGGTAGAATTCTTAAGGCAAAAGAAAAAGAAAAACCCATCCCTTAAATCTAAAAATATTTACTTTTTCAACACCTTCAAGCAAAACCCAATTAAAATTTCATATATATATTTTTTGCTTTGGGGGGCTGTAAACTAATTTACTGAAGTGCTCTGTTTAATGATGATGGAAAATTCAAGTTTCCCAGAAAACAATACAGTCGCCTACAACGTCAGCTTAGAGAATGAAGAGAGTGAACGGAATTTTTCTTCAGGCAACCGTTGGCCGAGGCAAGAGACTTTAGCTCTGTTGAAGATAAGGTCTGAAATGGAGGTCGCTTTTAGAGACTCCGGTGTAAAGTCTCCTCTCTGGGAAGAAATTTCCAGGTTTGCTTTCTTTATTTTTTTTTTCTCTGAGAAAATTTACTGGGAAATGTAAGGTTTTACCCCTTTTGTTGCGGTATTGAATTCCATCTAGTTTAATTACACTGGTTTGAAAGAACTCAGAGAGCTGTAAATAAAAGTTATGGGTTAAATTAAAAAATTATTTTTTATGCTATTTTGTTTTAATTTCACTCTTAGGTTCAATAATCTTAACTATCTCTAAAATTTTTAATTACTTAATTCAGTTTATTGCATTAATTTTTGAAGTTAAAAGTAATTAACTCTGAGGTGCAACAATGGGATTTTTTTTATCAGGAAAATGGCTGAGCTGGGATATATTAGAAGTGCCAAGAAATGTAAAGAGAAATTTGAGAATATCTACAAATATCACCGGAGAACCAAAGGAGGCCGGTCCGGGAAATCAAACGGGAAGAATTATAGGTTTTTTGAGCAATTAGAAGCTTTGGATCATCAACCTTCTTTGCTTCCACCTGTCAGTGGGAATTTCAACACCCCAGTAGAGCCTTTGAATGTTATCCATGATGCTATTCCGTTTTCAGTCCAGAACCCTGCTTTGAATTTCAATGAAACCTCTACCTCTATGACTTCTTCTTCCGGTAAGGAGCCGGATGAATCAGAAGGGACTAAAAAGAAAAAGAGGAAACTGACCTACTATTTCGAGGGGTTGATGAGGGAGATGATGGAGAAGCAAGAGAATTTGCAGAAGAAGTTTATAGAGGCAATAGAGAAGCTTGAACAGGATAGGATGGCTAGAGAGGAAGCATGGAAGGAACAAGAATTGGCCCGGATTAAGAGGGAGCGCGAGGTTTTGGTGCAAGAGAGATCAATTGCAGCTGCTAAAGATGCTGCCGTGTTAGCATTCCTACAGAAGTTTTCGGATCAATCTACCCCTGAGCAATTGCCTGAGACCACATTCCCTGTCGAGAAAGCCGTTGATAGGCAAGAAAATAGCAATGGTAGCAAGAGTTATATGCACCTAAGTAATTCTCGTTGGCCCAAAGATGAAGTTGAGGCTTTGATAAGATTGAGGACTACTCTTGATTTGCAATATCAAGACAATGGTCCCAAAGGCCCTCTGTGGGAAGAGATATCAACAGCAATGAAAAAACTTGGCTACAACCGAAGTGCAAAGAGATGTAAAGAGAAATGGGAGAATATGAACAAGTACTTCAAAAGAGTGAAAGAAAGCAATAAGAAACGCCCCGAGGATTCCAAGACATGTCCTTACTTTGACCGGCTAGATGCTCTATACAAAGAAAAAACTAAAAGTATTGATGGCTCAGTTAATTCCGGTTATGATTTAAAGCCCGAGGAACTTTTGATGCACATGATGGCTGCCCAAGAAGAACGACCACATCAAGAATCAGCAACAACGGAGGATGGTGAAAGCGAGAATGCCGATCAAACTTGGGATGAAACCAGAAACACCGATGGAGTAGGAGGAGAAGGAGATGCTTATCAAATCCTAGGTAATGATCCTTCTCCAATGGCAAATATTGGTTGATAGTTGGACAAATAGTGGAATTTCCTTTTCCGAATGCTTAAATTTTGTTAAAGTGAGTCAGGGTCCATAGTTTAGCGTCTGTAAAATAGTTGTGTGGAGGGCATATTTGAGTTTTGAGAAGTTTATTTTGATACAGCATGGCCATAAATGTATAGGTTCATCATCATTTGTTTTGAATAAACTATGTGGGACAAAGCGAGTAGAATAAACAATGTGTGTTTTTCAAACAAACTTTTTTTAAGCTCTTGAAAGGTGAGGAAAAAAGTGGGAAATGGTTTGGTTTGATTGGTTTTCTTGTGATTGTAATGCATGACTCGGTGTAGAATTGCCTCAGCATTCAACAAGGTTTGAAATTTTTGATAAAGTAGTAATCATTACACTCGTGTGCCTGCATAAGCAAAATGCATATATTTTATTTTAGTTATAAGGATCTCTGTTCCCTTCTTAAAAGTACAATGTGTATGGCCCATTGTTAATTATGAGGCCAAAAACTATAACTTTGGAAGAGACAACTTGGGTGCATGAGAACTGCTTATGAAAAAAGATTAAAAAAAAGTATCCATTATTGTTTAGTTGTTCTCTACTTGGAGCTTAATTTGAAGGAACACTAATCAGTAATCACCTCAGGCTAAAGCATGACATAATGGTTTGTATGCAGCAACACATGCTTTAAATTTCTCTTCAGCTATTGCCTGCGTAATATGTTGATATCATGCAACTTGCCGCAACTGATCGGCACGACTAAGTCAAGTGCATAAGCTGATTGTTCTTGAAAAGGATATAACTAACCTGTGAAGGACCTTGATTTTTATCTGGATGCCACTTTAAATCTGATCAGCTGAAGCTGCAAGATGGTTTTAATAATTTTACAAAACATGACTTTAAAAAAGGGTGGAGGAAAGGAAAAACTGAACGTGAAGACTACTAACGCCTTTTAACATCTTCGAGCTTTAAACGGCCAGTCGGAGGTAGTCCAAGGATAACTCTATCAGAAAATGATCCCACTACTGCATATTCCTCATCATCGGGCTCACTTTCACTAGGAGTGTCTTACTCTCCTGTTCTTCGATTAGTCCAGTCCGATTTCTCTCTCCACTCGAATCAAGGTTCTGAGTTTCAGAAAGTAAAATAGTCCCTGAAAGACCAAGTACTTGTTCTCAAATGAATATTCGAATATAGTCTCGGGATTATCAAAGTCCTCCGAGAAACTCTTTGTTCTAAACCGTCCTGTGCATGTAAAATAAAGACATCTAACTTGTTAATCACATAGAGGGCAAGCACTCAAACAATTGGTTGATATCTAGGCACTATACACAACATGGAGATTATATAAACATGAAACTCTAAAGTTATTTTACGAGAACGTTGCAGATAATCCAGGTCATCAAAAGATATCCCGTTCAGCTATGAAAATAGTGCAGAAAATAGGCAATTGTTATTTTTAAAAAATCATTTAAAGAGAGAAAAAGTTGAAGCTCACGTTTACTTTTCCTCCCATTAGATTTCCCAGCACGTCGTCCAGAAAACCCCGACCGATTCTTCTTAACAGAGCCATCTGAATCCTGGCCACGTGTCCCATCAAATTTCCATAATGGATCTTCATCCTATGTAGAAGCCAAAGGCATGCATAAGTCAATAATGTCATTTCAGGTACTAATGAAAAGCACAAGCTCAATTTCCGGTATAATGTAATTGAGAAGCAGGATAAAGGTATCGGTGCCGTACACTTGAGACCACTAGTTTATTTGGGAAATAAATGACCTTTAGTCTTAACAAAGTGAGATCGAACTTGTCATTAGCCTCTTCCAAATGGCTGCAACTTTTATTCTTTCAACAACAATGCAGATAATGAAAAATCGAATATTAATTCCAAGGCATGAACTTATGTTGAAAAACAAGCAATGTTCCAGCTTGCTTTACTTATTCGAACTTCGGCAATGTAAACAGTGCATGAGGACAATGTAAGTGAAAACTTTCAATAAGGTTAGTGTTCTAAATCAAACAAGAGTCCAAGAAAAGTTTACCTGAAATGAAATATTCGAGGCACGGTCACTAGCGAGAAGGTTTCTCAAAGCTCTCTATGTTTCAGCACACTTTTGACGTACTGCATACCTTTCGTAACTCTGCATTCATATTTGAAATCCCAGAGAAGTTCTATTTTTGAAAACAACAAATAAAGTAAGAAAGTAAACTGGCAGAAGAAGGCAAAATGTTCATACAAAGCTACTTAGGAAGAATGAAATTAACAAATAACCAGTATCTTAAGTCTTAACCTATTAGCAGATAAGTCGATGACCAACTGTAAACATTAAAATTAACAATGGTGAATAATTTCTTGAGATGCATTAGGTTTCTATTTCAACTAAATGATTATAGAAAAGTTCCCAGTCTACCGAAAGAATAAACCTATAAATCCGATCGAGTATAGCTCAGTTTTCACAATCAGACTTGCATTTAGTCTACCAAAAGTCCGAAAATATTGTACAAGTACAATCTTCCTTTTATTATTTCATTTAGGGAAAGGGGGATTCAAACAATGCTCTTAGAACACGAAAATCATGCACCAACAGACTGAGCCAAAATCCCGGGCCTAGAATAATATCGATCTTAAGACACACCTATCTTGTATAACAGGATCAACATTCAAGACAATTAAGAGATTCGTATGCAATTGAGAAAGCCAGCAAAGCTGCATACCTTAGTTGGTTGTTGAGTGCTTCTTTTATCCTGTAAAAGACGATGTTAATTGTCAAACTTTTTTGGAAAAAAGTACAGATTTATCCAAAATTCCTTACCACATTACTAAAATCTAAAGCTCAATTCTATTCTGTTCCCAGTCCAGAGGGGAGAAAGAAATAGAAATAATCGTTCTCACAGAAAACAACTTACTTCGATCAGAACTAGGAATAAACGATTTGGGGAATAAGGTTGAAATTTGCTACATTGACTGAACATATCAATTGATTCATGATTTTAAGTAATATTTCACTAAATACTAGAAATCACCGGTGCAGTAGTAGTTCCTGCTGTGGGTTCTGCTGGTGGTTTAATTACTTTGTGGAATCAAAAGGATTTTGTGGTGAAGGAAGAGGTCATCCACAACAGATTTGTGGCATTAAAAGGGTTAATGGAAGGAGATCCAGGAATTTGTTGTTTTATTAATGTCTACGGTCCGAGTGTTGATGCAGACAAGGAGCAGTTTTTTAGGGAGTTATCATCCTTTCTGGAACAGCTTGATTGCCCAGTGTGCTTAGGAGGAGATTTCAATGCAGTATTGACTCAGGAAGAGAAAGATGGAGGAGCAGTGAATCCGGTATCTATGAACAGTTTCAGAGATTTTGTTAGTCAGGCGAATTTGATTGATTTGCCGTTATTTGGAGGTCGTTTTACGTGGTGTAACAATAAGGAAGTTCCAACTTTTTAGAGGTTGGATCGGTTTTTGGTTGATCATTCATATTTTTCATCTTTTCCAAAATTAAGCCAAACCTTGCTTCCAAGGTCTGTCTCTGATCACAATATCATTTTGTTGGAGAATAAGGAATGTAATTGGGGGCCGAAACCGTTTCGGTTGTTTAATTATGTGTTGAAGGAAGAGGGGTTTAATGAGATGATGAAAACAGAGTTGTTTAAATTCTGCAAAGGGGCGAACCTGATGTCCATATCCAAAGTTCTTAATCGGGTGAAGGATATGGCAAAGAGGTGGTCGAGGAGGGATTATCTTCAGCTGCTAGGAAAAAACAGAACGTTGGAGAGAGGAATTCATGATATGGAAATGGACTTGCAAAAAGGACTTCCCATGGTGTCTATGCAAACTATTGTCGAAGCAAAGAAAGAATTATGGGAGCTACAAAAAAAAAAAGAATCGATTTGGATGCAAAAGTCTAGAATAAAGTGGAGATTGGATGGAGATAAGAACACTAGTTTTTTCCATCATAGTGCGGCAGTAAGAGGGAGGATAAATTGTATCAAATCTCTTAAAGTTGACAATGTAGTCACGGTAGATCCCCGTGTTATCAAAGCTTCTGTGGTGAAGTTCTTCAAGGGGTTGTTTAATCAAAGGAATACTTTGAAGGTTGAGGATTTAAACCTGGATTTTCTGAGATTATGGGAAGGGCGGTGTCTAGCATTGGAGAAGCCATTTTCGGAAGAGGAAGTATGGGATGTTATCGTTCATTCGGATAGTAATAAAGCTCCAGGACCGGACGGTCTAAATTTAGGCTTCTTCAAGAAATTCTGGACCATTATGAAGGACGATGTGATGTTGTTTTTTAAAGATTTCTATGTGGGGAAGGAGTGGGACTCGGAGGTAAATCATTCCTTTATTTCTCTCATTCCTAAGAAGGTCAATCCGGAGGGGTTGGAAGATTTTAGGCCAATTAGCCTAGTCGGAGGGCTATATAAAATTTTATCAAAGGTTTTAGCTAGAAGATTGAGTTTGTGCATTAACGATATAATGAGTCCGTCTCAATTTGCTTTCATTCCGGGAAGGAACATATTGAATTGCTCGTTTATTGCAAATGAATGCATTGACTTTTGGAGGAAAAAAGGGTTGAAGGGAGTAGTCTTCAAAGTGGATTTCAAGAGAGCCTATGATTCGGTTGATTGGGACATTTTGATGAAAATTATGAGCAAAATGAGGTTTGGTGACAAGTGGAGGTCATGGATGTATCAATGTATGTCTTCAGCATCTATTTCGATTCTAGTAAACGGGTCAACTACAGAGAAATTTCACACAGTGAGGGGATTGAGACAGGGTTGTTCGTGATCGCCTTTGCTGTTCAATATGGCCGGTGAGCTACTACATCTGTTGCTTACTAAAGCAGTTGACATAGGACTGTTTTTAGGTTTCGATGTAGGTGTTCATGATAGGGCATTTAAGCTTTCGCATTTGCAATTTGCGGATGACCTTATAATTTTCAGTAAAGGCTCTATTCGTGATTTGAGGAATGTTAGAAGAGTGTTATTAATATGAGTTACTGGTGGGGTTGAAGATTAATCAAGTTAAGAGAAGAATTTATGGTATCAATGTTGAGGATGGGGCGTTAGCTACTTGGGCGAATTATATTGGTTGTTCGGTAGGAAGTTTCCCATCAGAGTATCTAGGTTTACCCTTGGGCTATAAGAGAAATTCGGCTGCCATGTGGGAGCCAATAGTGGAGAGATTTCATGCTAAGTTGAGCGGTTGGATGTCTAATTCCCTGTCGCTTGCAGGAAGGGTGGTGTTGGTTAAGTCAGTGTTGTGCTCGCTCCCTGCATATTTTCTTTCCATTTTCAAAATTCCAGTTTCTATGCTAAAGAAACTAAATTCTATCATGGCTTCATTTTTGTGGGGGGGGGGTGCAGCGGATAAAAAAAATATCCACTGGTTAAATTGGAGTTCAGTTAGTAAACCAAAAAGATTGGGGGGTCTAGAGGTCCCGAATTTATTACTCTTGAACAGAGCATTATTGGGGAAGTGGGTTTGGAAGTTTGCATCAGAGAAAGAGTCTTGGTGGAAGAGGGTGGTATGTGGTGTTTATGACATGGATCCGAAATGCATAATGATGGGGAATTCGTGGCTAGGCCGTGCATCATGGATTTGGAGAGGTGTGGTTAAAAATTTCTTTTTCGATGATGGTTTTGGGGATTGTATTAGAAGGAATATGCGTTTGAAGACAGGGAAGGGGAATTATGTGCAGTTCTGGAACGATGTATGGTTGGGTGAAGTATCTTTGAAAATACAGTTTCCTAGACTCTATGTTCTTTCGAGCAACAAATCGGGTAAGGTGATGGAGTTCAGGGTGAATAATGGTGCTGGTTGGGTGTGGGACATTCAAATGAGGCGAAATTTGGCGGATTGGGAGGTTGAACAGCTGTTGTAATTGATTTCTATGTTGAACAATATCTCAATATCGCCATGTGAGGAAGACTGTTGGATTTGGTCAGGGAATGATGAGGGCTGTTTTTCAGCTAAATCTTGTATCAACATTTTCCTTGATCAAGATGGTATTCAGCAGAAGATGGAGACCTGGGAGAGACATATTTGGGCAGGGATTGCTCCTCCACGGGTGGAGACATTTGTCTGGCAAGTTGCTCACCAGAGAGTGGCGGTGAAGGAGGAATTACTGAAGCGAGGTGTGGTAGGGATTGATGATCCTTTATGCTCTTTGTGTGGTAGGGAAATGGAATCAGTTACGCATCTATTTTTGCATTGCGAGGTAGTATGGGGTCTGTGGGACAGATTATTGAATATTTGAAATTTATCCTTTGTGATTCCAAAGAATATCATGGACTTTTTCAATTTGTGGGATGATTTACTTTCGAATTCTTTGATATGGAAATTTATTCCAAGGGCGTTGATGTGGTCAGTGTGGAAATGCAGAAACGAGGTTATTTTTCAGAAAGTTAAGCTGGATGTGGTGATACTGTTCTTTATTGTCCGTTTTAGAATAGCTTCCTGGTTTGTTGCAAAGTTCAAGGATGTGAATATACCTTTAGACTCTCTTGTGGGAGATTTAAAACTTGCGGATTTGGTGGGTAGACAAGGAAATGACAACTCTAAACCAATTTGCTGGGTTCCTCCTCCGGATGGGTTCTTAAAGCTAAATGTTGATGGAGTGATGGTAAAGGGTTGGGATAAGGGAGGTATTGGTGGTTTGATTCGGGACAGTAAAGGTGTGTTGCTTCAATGGTTTTCAGAAAGAGTTGGGGGTAGTCCTCCTATCTTGGCAGAATTATTGGCGATTAAGAGGGGGTTATGTCTTCTGGAAGATTTAAGTTTTGTTCCTAATCGGAGGTTTATTCTTGAATCTGATTCAAGCAATGCCCTAAAGTGGATCAAGAATCCGGGTTTATGCACTCCTATGTTTCAAGTATTGGTGAAGGAGATAGTCTCTCTTATGGCAGGGAAGGATATCATTATCAAACATATTTTGAGGGCTGCAAATTGGGAAGCTGACAAATTAGCTAAGGATGAGATAGGGTGATGTAATGGTTTCTGTCTGCTTGTATTAAGGAGTAGAAAATTTTATTTCCTATGTTTAGCAGTAGTGTTTAAGTTTTATGTAATTTCTGGTGGTGTTTGCAGATGTTTAGGGTCTGCCTTTGTTGTTCTATTGTTTCATCTAATAAATTATAGGCACACTTTTCCTCCTTTCCTTGTCCTTCATGTTACTTTTATAACATGGAGGTTGAAAAAGGGGTTTTTTAATGAGGCCTAATCTTATATAAAAAAACATGTCTAATTTTGATGTTAGCACGGTCATTCACAGAGCACTTTGTTAAAAAGATTACATTTTTCATTGAAGAGATCCCATCAATATTGCTAACACAAATACATGAACTTGCTATTCAATGAAAATAAATACCCAAATTCAAGCTCACCCATGGCATTTAAAACATAAAAAAATAAATAAACCAATTGAAGAAGAAGAAGAAGAAGAAGAAAGACTCACAAAATTCCATTTGTTCTTCCATTTTCACAGGTAAAAGGCGTGGAATGAAACGAACCGACATGGGTTGTAGTAGCAGCAGTCGTTTGTTTTGCAGGTAAGAAAGGTGGAATCAACGAATTCTTGAATAGAAAGGTGTTTCGGCACCTCAAAATTTGCATAATCGGATAAAACAATGTCAAACCACCTGCCCTAAGAAGTGGCAGCATCGATCAAAGCTCCGTATTTTTACTTTTTGAGGTTTAAAAAAACTGATTTTTAACTATTTTTAAATGACAAAAACGAGATTCCTTTTTGTGGTGAAACAGAAAAAAGGCCTAGATGGTCTCTTCCTCGTCCACTTCTCTTCGACAGAGACGGTAGGAAATCGTGTATGTTTTAAGGATAAATTATCTTTTTCATCTCTTTGGTTTCTTCTCGCTCCTATTTTTTTCACTCAAGCATACAACATTTTAATTTAATTATTAACTTTAACATTAATTGTTTTAGTCATTCCACCATTAAATAAAAAACGATATGTTGATATAGTAAACTATATATGTCATAACTATTTTTATAATTAAATTAATTTAAAAATAATTATGACTTTATTTTTAAAAATTATATATTTTTTAATTTAAAATTTGGAGTCGTCATCGACTTGAGTTAGGTAGGTCGAATACCTAAAAATGTATTTTAAAATTAATTTTTAAAAAAAATCATTTAAAAAGACAAGAATTGGTTTGCGTTTACCAAATATTCATTTTTAAGGATTCGGAAGTCGATTACGTATGGGGAAGGGTGAGCACCTCCATAGCGTCCAAAATTGGTACCTCTCAATTATACGTTGTCTAAGTAGCGGAAGTTTTCATATTTGAACTCGAAATTTAAGTTATGATCCTTTTATTTTGATGAGTTTTATAAATGTGTAAATTTATTATTAAAAATGTTTGACTCGATAAAATGATTTAATTCACTCGACTTTATTTGAGAAGGATGTCCTCTCACTACGTGAATTAACAGAAATTAGAATTCAGTTATGTTTGACGTAATTTCATTAATACAACGTAAAACAACATTGCCTTTGATAATTCTTGAAAACGAGAAAACAAATATATGGTAAAAAAATAGATGAGATATCAATCATCACAAATAAATAAAACTAAACATAGATAAGTAAATAAAAATAAAATAACTAAGTGTCCTTACACACCATAGTGTTGCACTGAGTGTCCTTACACACTACAGTGTTGTACTAAGTGTCCTTACACACTATAGTACCATATGCACTAAGTGTCCTTACACACCATAGTGTTGTACTAAGTGTCCTTACACACTATAGTGCTAATCTGATTATGCAATTGCTAGACTCTATGGCATGCCAATTACACTCTGTCCTTCAATGACTTACTTGGGCATACAATCTATTTTATTTGATTCATCCATGACAAAGTATATTATCATAATTTAACATTGAGCAGTTCATACCTGAAATATTATACATGATAAATATCATATATATTCATGATAAATATCATATATATTCATGATAAATATCATATGTAACGATCAGTTATCAATGCATTTAATATTCAATCTATGACATATTTAGAATATGTCAAATATATATATGAATGACATAAATATCATGGCAACATAAATAAAGTAGACTCATCGCAAGTCATAGTCGATGATCTATAAAACATACATGTATAATGTTATGCATGCATTGCACTCACTTTGGCATTATATACAAGTCAAAATATAAGTCTCACTAAGCTTTAACTTGATCTTTTGCTTCTAATTTAGTTAAATCCAAAAATTTGTCATAATTTCATATTATAACAGTTTGCACTACCTTTAAAGAAATATTATATTGTATTAATATACACCTTTAAAAATTATTTCGTTTATACTAATAGAAACTAGACCAAAATATGAATCTATCCATATAAGGAACTACTTCTAGTTAAATTTGTAAAATTTATGGTGAATTTTCAAAGTTGACCGACATAATCTGTTTTGAGCAGAATCTGCTGTCCCGTTTTCTGACCTATCATTTGCTAAAAATTCATATTTTTTTATATACCTTGAAATCAGTTTCCATTTGTTCTAAACAAAACTATATTGACATAAGAATCCAACGGTATAAAAATCATCCTCTAATCATTTTCTTAGAATTTATGGTGATTTTCTAAACTTATTATCTAGAACTAAATTTCTAAGCAGACTTCACCAATTTGCATTTTCAGCTTGTCACTAATTCTATTAGATCACCAAATGCACATATATACATGCTTCACAAATTAAATAACATTTTAGGAGTCACTCCTTACCATAGTAACTTCATCACTGGCTCATCGCAAGTCAATGTTTGTTCGATAACATAAGTACAAAATAAATTTGTACTCACTTGGTGTCCTTAGCTTGCAAACCTTCCTTAGTGTTGAAAACATTTTGATATTTCGATATAACAAATTAAGTTAAATGAATTTTAAGATTTTCCAAAAAGGTTTTCTAAGTATATTCGATATAATTATTCGAATATCAAAATATTACTCCAAATCTTTCAAATGTCATTTTTAATCCTTACTCAAGTGTAAAATTAAGTTTTAATCTTAAAATAATTTCAAAATGATTTTACAAAATATTTCGAACCATCTCAAAGCCAAAAATTCCAGATTGCTCAGAGGGAACCGATTCCCCCCAAAGGGGGTACCGATTCCCCCTGAATGGTTTGGCTCCGAGAATTCCAGTATGCTCAGAGGGAACCGATTCCCCCCCCAGGGGGTACGGGAACCGATTCCCCTTAAGGGGTACTGATTCCCCCTACGCTCCAAACTGTTTTATTAATTGATTTCATACTAAAACAACTATATTATCTTCATTAATGATCCCCAATGTTCAGAAGTGATTCAAGGTGTATTTAATCAAGCTTAGAAGCCATTGATCAACAACAAGAAACATCAAGTAACTAGAATCAAGAGAGAATCAAAGAGAAAGCATCAAACCTCAAGTTTGAGCATTTCAAGCCTATTTTTCATTCAATATTCATTTTCCTTTCAAGAACACTTATTGTGCTCAATTGTTTTCATTCTTAAGTGTTCTTTTCTTTGTTCTAGAATTGTGCAAACAATCTACCTTGTGAGGATTTCCTTGTAAGTTTGCAAATTTGTATTGTTCTCTTTGGGAGAGAGTGTTCTCAAGAATTTGGGGTATAATTCTTGAGGGTTTGTAAGGTTACTCTTTGTCCTCAAAAGAAAGACAAATTAGTGAATTTGTGGAAAATCCTTAGTGTGGATAGCTAAGGTAGTGGACGCAGACTTTGGCTGAGAAAGTCGAACCACTCTAAATCGCTGTGTAATTTCTTTCAATTTTCTGCAAAAGCTTCCACCAAAATTTTTATTGCCAATTCACCCCCCTCTTGGCCAATTCCGTCAATCGATTAACTCAACAATTGGCATCAGAGCCTAACTCATTTGAAGGTTTAATCACCTCTTGAGTCAATTCGGGAAGAGTTACATCAATAATCAAAGTCATCAATGGCCTCTACTTCAAACTTCGACTCCGGTCTCGATTCGATGCCCGTCAACAAGCCTCCTTTCTTCAATGGGGCTAATTATGCCTATTGGAAAAATAGGATGATGTACTTCATTCAAGCAAGTGACATGAGAGCATGGAATGTCGTAGAAGAAGGATACTTCAAGCCTCTCACTTATCCAAGATTATGGAGTGAAGGAGAGACAAAAATGTTCCAGCTCAACTCCAAAGCCATCCATATCATATTTTGTGCTCTTGGACCAGATGAATACGGAAGTGTTTCATCTTGTACAACTGCCAAAGAAATATGGGACAAACTTCAAGTCACTCATGAAGGTACCGATGAGGTAAAGAAATCTAAAATTAGTATTCTAACGCATAGCTATGAAAATTTCAGGATGAAAAAAATGAAGATATCAAAGCTATGATGGATAGATTCTCAATGATTATCAATGGTATCAAATCATATGGAGAGATCATTTCAAATGAAAAGCTTGTGAGGAAGTTAGTATACTCCCTCCCAAAATCGTGGCAATCAAAGAAGACGGCAATCATCGAATCTAAGGATCTAACATCCTTAACTCTTGAAGAGCTAATCGGTTCACTCCTCACTCATGAAATGATGCTTGAAGATGAGGTGGACCTTGATAAGATTGAAGAGACACCAAAGGATAAGGAGAAGAAGAAAAGCATTGGAGTTGCTCTCAAATCTACAAAAAATGAGAGTGATTCGGATGAAGATGACGATGACGAGGAAATGGCATTGTTTGCCAAACGATTCAGAAAAATAATGAAACCTTACCGAGGAAGAAAATTCAAACGAAATGAAAGCCTAAAAAATGAACCAAAAGAGAAGGACCCGATCATTTGCTATGAATGCAAAAAGCCGGGGCATGTCAAATATGATTGCGCACAACAGAAGAGAAAGGGTCAATCAAAAAATAAGCACAAGGCTCATATGGCTACATGGAGCGATGAATAAGGTTCCGATGAATAGGAACAAGAAGTAGAAAACTTGTGCTTGATGGTATTCGGGGAAGATTCTAAGGTAACCTCTAACTCATCTGATTTTGATGATTTATCCTATGATGAGTTATTAGAGGAATATAATGGGTTGGCTACGGATTATGAGAAATTGTTTTTAAAATATAAAAATGATGTTTCAAAATTGAAAAATGAAAATAAACTCATATCCAAAACCAACAACAATCTTGAAAGTAAAATCAAAGATTTGCAAATCAAACTAGAAGAGTTTGAAAAGAAAAATTTGGATTTGCAAAATTTACTTTCAAAGGTCAATGATGATCATCAAAAGAAAATTGATAATCTTAAAACTTCTTTTGATAAAGTTGGAACAAAACGTTTTGAAAATGGAGAAAATTCAAAATCCAACTTTGTTAGAAAAAGTTTGAAAAACTACAATTATAGAGGTCCCCAAAGAACCTCTAATGGAAAAATCGTTAGAAGTATATGGGTTCCTAAAGAGCTCATTACTACTAAAGATAAGGATTATCTACACAAATTGATACCTAAGGGGACTAGGATTTTGGAAACTAATGAATATGGACCCAAAAGAATTTGGGTA